ACTACCCTTAGCGTTGTTCTTTAACCCCCTTCTTCTTAGCAGTGTATCAAGCTCACCTTACTGTTGCAACTGGACGAGCCTTCTTAGCTATGGCTGCTGGAACACAGGCTTCCTCCTGACACTCTTTGACCAGAGTGTGTTTGATGCCAACACCAGCAGCCAGCCCACCTGCTGCCTTTGAGGATACAAGCAATACGCTGAAGAAACTGAAGTGGAATAGCTTGACATGAGATGCTGCACCAATGCTTTCATCACACTGTCTTGTATGTCAGTGTTTCAGTCTATTCTTACCATGTTATCCAGGAGCCCAGGGTACGTCTGCTTGGTGTGGGAGCGCCGTGCCAACCACATACAAACCTCCTGACTGTCACTGACAGTGTAGCCATTGATATGAACTCCATACCGCTTCACCCCAAAGAGACCTGCAGTGTAGCAGCATGGTCTGCTCATACAGCTCAAATACAGGTATAATATAAAAGCCTGAGACGGTGCTCCAAAACCTACTTGTAGCTGTTCTTTCCATCCACATCAAAGGGCAGTCTGAAAATCTGGGCATTACACTGTATTTCTGAAAGAACAGATGTTTTAGTGTTATAAGTGAGAACATGTAAGTTGATTTAACCTTGAACATTTTTTCACACCTTCCACCTATATTTAAGACAGTGAAACTATCTTGCTTTGCCCTTTTCATTCCACCTGCTTATAACCATTCAGAGAAGTAAACAACTGAACCCAAAGCCAAAATGTAATGCAATGCAATTTGGTTAGCATGGTGGTTAGGACTCTTGCCACACAGCAAGAAGCTGCTGGGTTTGACTCCACCATCTGGCGGGGCTTTTCTTTATGAAGTTTGCATGTTCTCCTTGTGTCTGCATGGGTTCTCTCCAGGTTCTCCGGCTTCTTCCACCAGTCAAAGTCATGCAGTTAGTGGGATTATTTAAATAGATACATTTACATAATCCTATAATCCCACACAACATCCAGCCCTTTATGGGCTGGATGTTGTGTGATTTTTTCCTACAGTCAAATCAAACTGATGCTTTTCTACTTGGTCTTAAATCCTCATAAGCAGGGTTTTTAATCAAATACTGCTAAGGCATTACCTGTGATAAATCTTGGAGCTAATTTGTCCAGCACATGTCCTTTAACATGCACTTTAATAAAATATGTGGGAGTGCTTTTTTTTTATTTGCAGGATATTGCAAAAAATTAGAAACATAATTTCTCAGAGTGATGTTGAAAAGCGTGTTCATGTTTATTAATTCTAGGCTGGACTATTACACTTTATTATTATCTGAGCAATCTAATCACTATATGTATGTGCATGTGTATATATATATATATATTTTTATTTTTTTTCATCAGGACCATCAAGGACTCAGTGGGGATGTGGCGTACACACTAGAGCCCAACTTCAAGCCAATATCACAAGTTAACATCAAGTGCGGGATCTACTGCTGTTCTGCATAGGCCTGAACCCCCTCAGTGACACCGTTAACAAGACTGGCTACAGATACTGGCTACAGAATGGAGCCGTTGCCACCTCCTCTACATGGATGACATTAAGCTGTATGCCAAGAGTGAACGTGACATTGATTCATTGATCCACCAGGATCTATCTACAGGAACGACATCGGAATGTTGTTAAGACTGGAGAAATGTAGTCTGATGATAACAATGGAAGGTAGCCAGAACTGACAGGATTGAACTACTAGAAGGCAACATTGCAGACATAGAGGACAGCTACAGGTATCTGGGGATCCCACAGGTAAATGGGAACCATGAAGAGGCCGCTAGGAAAGCTGCAACCACTGAGTACCTGCAGAGGGTCAGGCAAGTCCTGAGGAGTCAACTGAATGGTAAGAAAAAGATCCAGGCTATCAACACCTACGCCCTGCCCGTGATCAGGCACCCTGCTCGGTTAATAAGCTGGCCAAAGGAGCCACTGACATCAAGACCAGGAAACTTCTGACCATGCATGGAGGGTTTCACCCCAAGTCCAGCACCCTGAGGCTGTATGTTAAGCGTAGGGAAGGAGGCCGGGGGCTAGTGAGTGTCAGCACCACGGTCCAGGATGAGGCAACGAACATCCATGAATACATCAGGAAGAAGGGGGCCATCTTCCTGGCTCAGTGAATACCTCAGGCAGCAGAAACCCAAGAAAGTAAAGGAAGAGGAGAAACCATCATGGAAGGACAGGCCCCTGCACGGTATGTACCACTGGCAGATAGCGGAGGTGGCTGATATCTGCCTGTGGTACATACCGTGCAGAGGCCTGTCCCTCCATAATGGTGCCTCCTCTTTCTCTGCATTCTTGGGTTTCTGCTGCCTGAGGTATTCATTGAGCAAGTGAATGAAGGCTCTTAGGATCCTGTTGATCTTTTATAGTTCTAGGCATTCCAAGATCCAGGTGTGCGGCATTGAGCCACAGGCCTTCTTGTAATCAATCCAGACAGTGCATAAGTTGGTCAGCCTGGTCTTGCAGTCTCAGGCAACTGCTCTGTCTACCAATAGCTCGCGTTTGGCTCCTCCTCTTGCCAATCCCTTTCTGTGCCCCGCTATCGAGCTATGTGTCTGTTCGTCTTAGCTGCTATGATGCTTGACAGGAGTTTCCATGTGGTACTGAGGCAGGTTATTGGCCGGTAGATGGATGGAACCGGTTCCTTCTGGGGGTTCTTGAGGATCAGGACCGTCCGGCCTTCAGTTAACCATTCTGGGTGTCTCTCATCCACTAGCAGCTGGTTCATTTGTGCTGTCCAACTCTTCATACTGGAGACCTTTTCTGGGATGTCTGCCACTGTAATGGTTACTGGTCTCTGTTCAGGGAGGTTGCTGAGGTTTGCTCTTAGATCCACTAGCCACTGAGCATTGCTGTCATGTGTTGTGTCCTTCTCCCATATGCTCTTCCAGTATTGCTCAGTCTCTGTATACCTTGGATGGTTCTGCCTTCTGTCTCTCTGGTGTATCTCTCTGGTGTAGCCAACTGGCTGCTCTCGGGGGCTCTAAGTGTTAAAGCGGCTGGCCAAGGCTATCAGTCTTTCCTTGGTAATTTCCAAGGCCTCAGGTAGAGACAGCGTGCTGTACTTCTTAGGCACCTTCTTCATCGCACCATTTTGCAGCTCCTATAGTTGGCTAACTTTCCTCCGTGCTTCCTTGATCTTGGCCTTTAGCCTCCTTTTCCATGGACTGTACTGCTCCTTGTGGCTGTTCTACTTGTAGCCAAGCACCTCGTTGATCACTGCTGCCATGATGTAGATCAGCTGGTTAGTTTCGGTGATGGTTGCAGTAGGTATGGTCCATAGTGCTGCATTCACATCACCTAGTAGATCCTCAAAGGGTATTTTACGTAGTCTTGGTAATCGGCTACAGAGAGTCCAGGTTTCAAGCTTCGCAATGATCCTGTCTTTCAGGTCAGTTCCCAATCTCAGGTGGGCTGTTCTCCCCTTGCCGTTGCATGTGTGTGTGTATATAAAAAATAAAAATAAAAAAAAAATACTATTTTGCTATATCATATAGTACTCTGAAACTGAAGTGCATGATCCTGCTGTATAACCCATACAGCATGATAATGTTCTAATACACTTGCAAGTCATGACAAATGGTTTGCACTGCAGTTCTCATTGCCAAGGGTAGCACAACCAGTTCTTAGGTTTAGAGGACAAATGAACCTCTTTTCCACTAGTACCTACTCATCTTGAGTCAACTCAACTAGACTCAACTTGGATTAGGCTGTTTTCCAATATAACTGAATACCATACCAATATGTTCACACTGTGGGAGTTAGCTAGCTGGGAAAACCTCTTACCAGCTCACATCAAGAACATTTGTGTGGTAGCTATTACATCCTTGGAGACACAGCTTGTCCCTTGCAAGGCTTGTTCTTGAAACCATTTCATGACACTGGACATTTAAAAAAGAAAATCATTTGAGCATGGCTGGTTATTGATAATGCTTTCAGCAGACTGAAGGGAAGGTGCCGTTGCCTTCCTAGTCATGTCCCCACAAACGTACTCCTGTTTAATGTCACTATTAATTTTGACAATAAAGTTGTGTTCTGTCTCCATCTTTGTTTCTAAGTTTTATTTTTCCTGGTGACCAAGATTCAGTGATACAAATTAAATGTTAAAAGATACATTTAACTTGTTTGTGTTATGTTAAATCCTATTAAACACTAACAGAGTTATAGGAAATGCCGACACCAGTATGACACAGTTTCTTGATATACTGTTGCAGTAACTAAAGTGTGCAATATCTTCTGCATTGGCGCATCCAATAATATAGTGTTTTTTGTGATGACTTTACCTGGTGAAGAAGATTGTTTCTTTTGGTTACTTTTTATTACAAATGAGCTGTCATTGCACCAAAATTTCACTGATAATTGTTTGGTTCATACTTCTTTCCTACTGGTGTTGTAACAGACAACCCCCCCCCCAAAAAAAAAAAAAAAAAAAAAATCACATACACAATGGTCACTGAATTCTTTATTATAGTCAGCAGCAAAATCCAAACGATTTACAATGTGCAAAATGAAGGCTGAAAAGTTAAACTATATACATTTATTGCATTCATGATGTAAAAATACTGGTGACTGCCAGTGCTACCCCTCAGCCTCCTACTAGCCACACCTATGGTATTAATTTCAAAATCCTACATTTTTGAGTTATTGCTTTCACAAGATTTTCAGAAAACTTGACCTCTGACCTTTCAAGTCAAGGTCACTGAGATTTAAACCTGTCCCCGATTTTTAGTAGTTGCACCTATGGTTTCAATTTAAATGTCCTACGTGACTTCCTTCTTGAGTTATCACATTTACAAAATTAGGAGTCCATGCTGCACGCTCGCCAACAGGGTGACGACGATACCACATCAGCCTTTCATAGCTGAGGGGTAAAAATGTCACTCATGCTGGCAACTCATTGCCTGTACAAGCTCACCCAGCACAAAGAGGAATGCCTGGATGAAGGTAGCACTCTGTAATCTCCTTCCTCTGGAAGATGGCTTCTTGCTCCATTGCCTTACATCTCTCACTGAGAAGCAAATCGATTGTGCTGTTCATGGTGGGCCAGATTTAGGACACTGAGCATGCATCTCTTCAAGTACACTTGTCAGGTCCGGTTTGGTGTGGGTCCTCTTCCTCTTGCGAAAGGCAGAAATGGGAGATGGTTAATGAAAGCCAGTTTAAAAACAATATTGTGGAAATGCACTTGGAGCTAAAAAATATTTTGTTCTTGGAAGTGACTACTTGGAGTTAGAGTTGATAGTTAACCATCTAGGTTATTGTCTGCATATAGGAGACAATGGTATTACCTTTAAAATATTCTTGTGAGTTCAAAGTGAGCTTACCACCAATAGGATAATTAGCATAAAAGACGCATTAACCCATAAAGAACTCACCATCCTCATTATGGTTTCCAACAATGCTGTAGCCGAGTCAAGCCCAATCTTCCTCCTGTTACTTGCCGGTCAGTGCCTGCAGATGCAGTCCATTTGATTGAACCATTTCCAGTTGAACCACTCTGACTGTGGTGGTCCTTGATGGTCCTGCAATCGCTTTTATATTTGATAGGTTTTTGTTGAGATTGCTCTGGTACGTCCTCTGGTATCCCTGAGCAGCCATCAGCTCACAGATCTCCTGGTACACATTCTCATTTCAGGTTGTTCTGCCTGGTTCCTACTATCATCAGTCACCAAGACCAAATAAATATGCATATCATGATTGGTCTAAGGTATTGGTATTTGCGTAGACACTTCCCCAATTACAAAAATGGCAGGTTTGATTTTTGTGAAGGACTTGCTTTTATGTGACATTGAGTCAGTGGTTCCCAAACTTTTTTTTTTTCACTAGGCTCCTTTGTTTTACAAGAAAATCTTCGTACAGCCTCCTAAACTGCAGCCTATTTGTTGAATCAGAGGTTAGATCAATGAACTGTTCCTCCTTGGATGTGCTGAAGTCAGCAGGGGCTGTTCATCATATTTTCTGGTCTTTGGCTTGGAATGAAGTTAGTTTGGCGATGCTTCATCTTCTGCTTTGCATTTGCGTGGGAGCCCCCCCACAGCACTGAGTGATGTCACTGACTGGCAATCGGTGGAATGCAGTCTACCAATGTCACATTTTTGGATCGACTCTGCTCACTTGGAATCCCAACAGATACCGTATTTCCCGGACTACAGAGCGCACCTGAATATTAGCCGCACAAGCTAAAATCAGGGGAAAATCCTGTTTTGTACATACATTAGCCGCACCTGACTAAAAGCCGCAGGTGTTTCAATGTTGACTTATCATATGTAAGAGAATATGCACAAAGGGAATTGTCAGGAAAGAGATGGCTGTTTGGAGACACACCCCTTTTATTAATATTTTGAAAAACAAGTTATGGGTACATATTTGCATAACTTTTTAGGTATATGTACAAGTAGCGGTAATTACAAGTACGAAACATGTACTGTGCTTCATAAATGAGTAACAAATGTAGTACATAACAATAACCTACAGCACACCAGAAAAATAGATTCGGACTACCTTTTAGGCTCAGGTGCAGTGACACGGCTTTAACAAGAAGAAAAGTCAGTCATTCACCATCTTTCTCTTCTTCCTGCGCACTAAAACCACCAAAGTCCTCTTCTCCAGTGTCGGATACGAACAGGCTCAGGATGGCTTCGTCATCCACTCTCAGCTTCTCTCCTTCGTTGTCACTTTCAAAACCAAACAAATCCTCGTTGTCAGTGTCAGAGTCGAACACCCTCAGAAGGGCCGTGGCGGTGTCCTCCTCTCCATCATGCAGCAGTCCAGCCCTTCGAAATCCGTTGGTGATCGTGGATGTTTTCACACTTTTCCACGCTGTCAGAATCCAATGGTGGAGTTGGGCATAACTTGCTTTTTGCAAGTTTATCGCCGCTCATCATCCACGCCTCCAGCTGAACGCGTAGCGCTACTTTGAAGTTTGTTTTTCGCGCTACTTCGTACGGCACTACGTTGCCTGGCGGATGGACATGTGACCAACATACCACTCTTGAACCCCGATCCTTCCGCCAGGCAACGTAGTGCCGTACAACAGCAGAACAAACAAAACAAATCCGCTCATGGACAATCCATAGAAAAGCCGCACCTGACTAAAAGCCGCAGGGTTCAAAGCTTGTGCAAAAAGTAGCGGCTTATAGCCCGACAATTACGGTAGTAAAAAAGTACCTGGAATAAGGAACTACTACCTAATGGAAAACCCAAAAAACCGAGTCGAGCCAAGTGGAGCCAAGTAGGTACTAGTGGAACAGAAATATGACCCCCCCCCCCCCCCCCCACACACACACACACACACTTTCACTTAGGCCTAGGCACATAAAAACTAATGCTAAGAAAGGTGGCAAAAACGTTTTTAAAGCAGTGTTTATTGTAGGGCATAGGCCTAGAAATCAAAACACACTTTATAGCTGGAATTGGAGTCACAAAATTTGCTACGTGCTTGATTTATACATCTGTGGCATGTAAAATTTTAATTATTCTTAATTGTTTTGCTATAGAGATAACAAAACAATTAAGAATAATTAAAATACATGTAGTAGCTCATTTAATGTGAAAGGTTTTGCAAAGCCAAGTTGCCGTGTCCAGATAGTGCGGTCCAATACAAGACCCGGCCCCATATTTGCCCCAAGACCCGGACACACAAATAAAAAACTTTATATTGCAAAAGACAACTAACTAATTTCTGAATGGTATACAGAAATATTTCACTATAGTGCAAAATAAAGCATGTAAAACACAAGAAATTCTTAGTAACAAAATGAAGAAAATACTTTTTTTTTTTAATTCACTTTCATGTTGGATTTAGAAAACAGGACAAATTGTAGCACAAAACAGAGGACAGTGTAATCCACCCACAACGCTAAAGGTTTGTAGGAACCCTTCAGTTCCTACAAACACTACTTCCTCTACATTTGCGCGTACTTGAGTCTCAGATGTTGCAGTGAGGACACACTTGCAAACAATGTTCCCTCTAAGCTGCGCGCGTGCGCAATTGCGCACTGCTGACACGGTCTCTTCACACAAAAAATCTGCGTTCCGCACAAAAAAAAAATTAAAATTGAAACTTTAACAATTCTGTTTTGCAGTGTTAGTCAGTAAGTGACTGGCTGCGCCCGTGTAAGTGGGCTAAAGCAGTTAATTAAAAGTAGTAACATCAATGTAAATGCTGTAATTTGCTTATTTTAATAAACCATGTAACTTGGATGGATTCGATGCTGGCGTGACCACAGTGCACACGTCTGCTGTTGCTCACAGTGGTCCAAGGGACCGCTCAGGGAGTTTGTGTGTTCGCTCAGACACATGAAAAATTAGAGGGAACGTTGCTTGCAAAGTTGAAACGTTTTAGTAAATTCTGACTTTGGCACAGGGCTGGGGGTCAGGCTTAGTTTTACAACTCGTGATACAGTTGGCCACGGGTAAAGAGTATGTAATGCTTCCAGTGAAAAACCACACAAAGACACAATTGTATACGTTGACGTTTGACTTGCGCGCCTCACCTCATCTCTCCATCCTTTAAGGCAGGTTAAAGAGGGCTCCTTTCTGAGAGCTTGCAGTACATGACTCACAGCCTCGGATCTCTTTTCGTACGAGTCCAGGCCGTGGCAGAGGGTCACTGCACCCTGGTGTGGCGGACTGAACACGTCTGGATAGCGTGCTAAAAGCGAAGCTACGTGAGGAGGTATCCAGCCGACCTGGGCTCCTTCAATCTCAAAACGAAAGCAGCTTGAACGACACGAACCTGTGGAGAGAAAGTTAGACGTGGTTACTTATCAAACTGCCTTCATCCGTTTCATCCTTTCTCTTACTGTCACCCGCATACCTGGTAAATAAAAGTTATTCATTTTACGGAGGAGCTGGAGTATGTTTTCTGCCCAACAACAACTAGCCATTTTAAATGTCTTTAAATAACTGCACACACAACTCAGCTGCTAGCACTGTAGCCACTCTACTGCGCATGCCCACAATACAGCCGCTGTAGTGAGATTTCTCCCTGAGATCTGCTTGTCAGGCAGCACTTCCACTGACCCGCTGGGTAACGGGAAAAATGACGGCAACAAAAAGGTCACTGTAGTAAAGATTCTTATTTTATTTTATTTTTTTGCCCATTCACATCTCATCTCCATCATTTTATCATGAGGTCTCCCCCCCACTAGTGCTATGCGATGATATTGCAAATTTTGGTATTGATCCGATACAGGGCCTGTATATCAATACTGATAATGTAACTTAGAAAGGCAGCTTATTTCGAGGAGAGCAGCCATGATCTTCATACATTTGCAAATTTGCAAACACATTATAATGACTACTAAGTCACTGTTATTTCCACTTTCCACAATAATTAATTAACACAATAAACACACCTTTTAACCTTTAGTGTATTTTAAAACTTTTTTAAAAACTATTAACCTGGATTTTTAATGTGTCTGCCCTCAAAATACTTGGGGTCAGTTTCTCCTCTTTAAATGTGCTCTGTACATAAAATAGACTTGACAGTCAACACAATATATTTATATATTCCTTATGTGGTGAGAGCAGGAAGGTAGTTCCTGGAGGATGGTGGAATTGATACCATCTAATAGAAAACCTCTGGGACTTTATTTTTGGTCTATCCAACACCACCAGGTTACACCTCAGACTGTTTTGGAGCTCAGTGATTTCCTGGTCCATATGTGGGAGGAGACTCCAGGACTCCATTGGTTGTCTCAATAGGACCATGTCCTGATGTTGTTAGACATGCTTACAAACCACGTTGTTTGCCTATTGTTGTTTGTTATCAACATTATTCTAGCCTAATGATAATAAGCCCCAAATCTGCTAAGTCTTTGGTGATTGATGCACTTGCATGTTTTCAGGAACAAATTAATTTCATTTATGTTTGCTGATAACACCCATAAATGTCTTGTTTAATCTCTTACTTTAGAAAATTCTGAAACTTCTGTGCTGCTATGGCTGCTAGTGTGTGCTGCCAATTTCTATTGCAAGGCTCTGTGATCTGGCTTTGTTGCAAAATAAATAAATACATTTTAGAAAAGTAATAATCCTTTTGTTCTCATGCTTATAGCATTTAACTGTTTCCTTCTTATTATTAGCAAGAACAATTAGCTGTACAAAAACTTATTGAAACTTAGTAAATATAGAAACATGTAAAAAGTCTTGATAGCTTTCTTATTTTTTAATTGTAATGCTCCTAAGAGAGAAACTTGGGAATGGAGCAATCACTGAACAGAAAATACAACACACACACACACACACACACACACACACATGCACGCATAGGATAGGACAGCAAAGGAAGCCACAAAGAGTCTTTCAGCTGATCTCGCCAAACAGACTCTGTTAGGACAAGGATGAAGGGCATAACAAGACAAGGAATATAGGAAAGGTGGTGAGAGCACTGAAAGGAAGATATGAAGGGACAGTGCTTTTACAAAATTCAAAGGAAAACAGAGAAACGAGAAGCACAAGAAAGAACAGCAGAGAGGAGACAGTCATATCTGGACTTAGACTTGGACACACTGGTTTAAACAGAAAAATACCACACAGGAAAATGTGTCTGCAGTGGAGAACCATAGAACATGTTTTATTGCAATGCTGGAAATATGAGGGTATGCATAGACAACTGATCCAAAAACTGAAATCAAACTGGACCTTATTGATTTATTTATAAAGAACTGAAGACGTTCTTTATATACTGGCCTGATATAGCCAGTATATCAGGCTATATTTCATTTTTAAGACAGCCTAATTTGTTAGGTAGCTTCTGTTTTTTGTATTTTGTGGCATTTCAGCCTCCACACCAATGGAGGGCAGTAATGTACCATCTGGGAGCGCCAACCACTAAGAAAAATAACAAAGGAAGAAGAACTATACAGAAAACTATTCATGCTAGCTGGGTACGAGCAGGAAATCTTAATTGTATTTGTTTTTAAATTTAGGCTTCAAAAATAGAGCGACAGTTTTCTGTATGAAGACGAAAAGAGACGGATATCATCAGCTTTATATTTTGACAGTAATTTACTGGAATAGGTTCAGATTTACTAGATAGCATCCTTTCTGTCGGGACGACACCAACACACCGTTTTCAACATTACGTCCCAAGGCCAAGGTAAGCTTATTCAGCTCCCTCTATAATACTCTAATCTGCGGGAGCGTCGTTACATCCTGTTCGATCAGGCCAAGAAAGCAAACACGTTCAGTTCATTTCAATATGTTAGTTAGTTTGTTGCAAACAAATTCAAACCCCAACAATTTAATTCCGTCACACAACAGTGATGTCTCCTGTAGTTTTTCAGTGTTGACAAAGTACACAGTAGATGCTGTCAGTGTTTACTACAGCTAGCAGCCATTGAGCCCCCGTATACAGTTACGGACGCTCTGCAGTCATTCCCAGTATTACTGGAATAATTCTGCACATTCCCACCCTTCTCTGAACTATGGTGTGTTTTTGCTATAGTCAGGAGATCATTTATTCTAATTACTAAATCTTTTACAACATTATACAATCAGTAACATCTGTCCACCCCCTGCTGTCACCTGTCTGTAGGTGAGCTCCTCCGAGTCTTCATGGCTTCATCAGAGGTAAACATGCAGGAAATGAATGAGGTTGTGATCGTCACCTTACCGGAGTCGGGGAGCGAGGACCTCCCCTCTGTGGCAGAGGAGGATAAAGCAGTGCTGGTCACTGCAGAGTTGACCCCTCAGACCGGGTAACACATACTCACTGCACACATGGCCTTGTGGTCAAAATGTAAAATAAATGTGAAGGGGCAAATTTACTGAAAGATATAAGATGAGTAATAGTGAGATAGAAATGCAAAACTGCTATAAAGAGATACAGAGACACAAACAGGTCCAAAGATGAGCAAGATGTCGACAAAAACACAAAATAAAAATATGCAAAAGTGCACGCTACAAAGAAATGCAACAAACACAGAAATGTAAAATCACTCAACATGTACAAAAATGGAAAATAAATAAAATAAAATGACTGTCATACAAAGTGAGAGAGATACAACATTAAAAATAAACTCAAACAACTGTAATAAGATGCAGAATAGCTACATAAAGAACAGAAATACTGTAGGTGGACTGCCAACTCCACTTACTTGACAGTCATATATATACAAAATAACATATTGTACATGAAATCACATACAGCAGGTGTACTGATATGCAGAAGTTTGCTGTTTTTTCCCCTTCAGGGAGAATGTCCTCACAGTAGCACCAATGGAAGCAGAGGCCATCAGAGCAGATTCACTGGCAAAGGAAGACGCAGTCATTGGTAATTTGAACTGAACTTTTCTTTATTAGCTTCAGCTGGATTAATTTTTCTTGTTTTCCACTTTGTTTGCATAATTTTCTGTAAAGAATAAACTGCCTTGCCATTTTTCACTCTTCTGAATTTTTCAGAAGTAAATAAAAGAACGTGTAAGTGATGGTTTACTTTACAGTTTACTATGTGTCCTTATGAAGATGTTTGCATCTCTGTCTTTGCAGTGAAATTAAGTGAAGAGGTGGATGTGGAAGCTGACGTGTTCTACCCAATCACATGCGGAGACGTCAAAGCCACTCTGATCTGGAAGAAATTCGTCTGCCCTGGGATAAATGTGAAATGTGTCCAGGTACACAGTCATTTTTAAAGCACTTAGCTTGTCCTGAATCTACACTGACTTGTTTTTCTTTCCTCTCTGATCAGTTCAATGAGCAGCTCATCAGCCCAAAGGAGTTTGTGTGTTTAGCAGGGAAATCCACTCTGAAGGACTGGAAGAGAGCTATCCGACTCAATGGCACCATGCTCAGGTCTGGACTTGTTATTAATAGACGGTAACTGTAGTGGATACAAACCCCACTGTGCAGTATATTTTTCAACACAATGTAATTTGAGAGAATCCAGTACTTAATCTTTTCAGAGTGCTTGTGTGCAGGACTTCTTATAGCTGCCTTCATCAGACTTGATCGTGTTACATTGTGTGTTAGTTTGCGATCTCAAATCAGCCTTTTGTACTGTCGTCACCTCGCTGGGCGGGCGGGTGCCGTGGACACCTAAGTTTGTGAATGCAGTAATTCGAAAAGGAGGCGACGTTGGAGCTTCAAATTGACGGCATAGGTGATTTCACTAAAAATCGTGCACAGGTTTGAATCTCAACACACCCACTGGTCGGACATGTTGACGCTTACATATGAAAGGTCTAGCCAGGATCTGGCCTGATGGCTCGATTTCCCCCGATATTTAAAATCTTTCACACAAGTTAGCCATCATATGATTCCTTCCAGCGTGGGCTGTAATATGAGTCTGTCTCAGGTGTAATATGAGAGTATTTAGGTAAAATGAATGCTGCCTGTAATCATGTGACATCACTGAGCGGCTTAAACTTCCTCTCACTCTCATAACTGGGTTCAACCCATACAAAGGCTAAGTCTCTTTACTTCACTTTTAACATCATCATGTCTTCTGCAAAACTTTGACTTTATTGTTATTATTATTTTTATTATTATTATTAGACTTTATTTGAGGGCGCCTTTAAAAAGCCAAGGTCACCTTACAAAGAACAACATTAATAAAAGGAGCAATAGTCATTAAATACATAAAATAAGTCAAAATTGCAAAACAGAACTTGATAAAAGATAAAAATCAGCACTAACGCGAATGAGCCAGTTTGAACAGATGTGTTTGGAGCTGTGACTTGAATACAGGAAGAGAGTTTATATTTCTAATGGCTGGAGGCTCTGCTCCTCGGAGTGTTGAGACGTGAGGACAGAACAGTAAGATGAATAGCAGATGAGGATCTGAGAGGGCGGGAAACAGTGGTGATATGGAGCAGGTCACACAAATAGGAAGGAGCAGATTTATGGATACACTTGTACGTGAGAAGTAAGATTTTAAAGTTTATCCTTCTATGGGCAACCAGTGAAGCTGCTGAAGAACTCGGGTAATATGAGCTCTGAATGGAGTACGAGTTAGAAGTTGGAGTTT